GGGCCAGTGAAGCAACCTCCTCCACAACTAGATTGAAGAACAAAAATGACAGCAACTTGTCTGTTCCCCTTTCCCCAATTCCTCAGCATTGTTCCCATCCCCCCAATTCCCCAATTAAAATAAATTTTAAAAAAGTAAGATTATGGCTTCCACATTATTTGGTACCAATGAAAATGTACTGAGAACATCATTCTTTCAAAAAAGACATAGCAAAAGAAAAATGGAGTCTATATAGTCCTAATAGAAGTAGGCCATAAGCACTATCTACCATATGTAAAATCTCAGATAGTTTATAAACTGGAATATTCTACCAATTAGATATAAAGTGATTGGGTTTTCTCTTTCAATGTCACTGGAATACTCGGCCATGAGTCTTGCTTTCCTGCCTCTCACACACTGTGATTTATGTTCCTGAACAAATTAGACTTAATTTAAGAGCAAATCATCAGCAACAGGTATAATAATCTTGGCAGAACATTTATTTTAATTAATTGCTTTCTCTCTAACGTAGATAGAAGGGTGCTGATGCCATTTACCCTATAAGGATTAGTGCTGTCATGTAATTAATTTTTTCTCTTCCCCTAGAACTTAAAGTCTCATCAATTTTAAATTACAAAGGCATTGGTTTACTTCATATTTAATCATAACAATCTAACTTTTATGGCAATGTTTATAGAAGAAACTTGTGAAAGAAGAATGAATTTTAACCACTCTGCAGCATTATAGATTCCTGCTTCCCAAATATAGGCCCTGTTGGGTTCACTTTTTCAGAGCTAGGCAGCTGCAAAACCCTGACCCCATAAACTTGGCAGTGGGTAGCTGTGGAGAATACTTGAGTGATTTTAGAACAGTGTTATTTTTCTTTCCTGTGGAGTTATTAGCTTCACAATTATTTATAGTTCAATGAGAGGCAAAAAGAAAACAAGAATTTCCTCTACTGTATGGATGCTAATACTGTAATTGTCCAAGGTATCTTGTAGTTCAGTGGTAGAAAACACAGCTAAATGGGCTCCATCTTCTCAAACCTCAATGTTACTTAGAAATGATTTGATGATCTTTCCAAAGACACAGAAACAGCTAATAGTAAACCCAAGTAGGGTCCTCAGAAGCAGGGCAGTACAGCTCTCATACTAAAATAATTTAGCTACATCATCATGAAATTTTAAATTCTAATGTGTAAGTTTTTAAGAAAAGTAAAACCTTTAAGCCTTCACTTTAGATAGTCCTTCATATTCTAACGAATTAGTTGTTTATTCATCTTTTAAAATGCTATAGGGAAATTTAAGCCTTTCCTACCTAAAGTTTAGTGTGAATTTATCATATATTCTGTATAAATTCAATAACAGGAGTGGTAATTAAAGTGTCTACCTTTTATTTGGTACAATCTCAGGAGGCAGTGACAATAAACAAAGGTACCAAAAAAAAAAAAAGGATCAGACTTCCAGTCAAGATGGAGGAGTAAACGCTATGCTAGCCTCCTCCCACAACCACATCAAACTTACAGCTAAACTACAGAACCATCATTGAGAATTGCCTCAAGTCCAACTGAACCAAAGTCCTATAATTAAGGATATAAAGAAGCCACGTTGAGACTGGTAGGAGGGGTGGAGACACAGAACAGGCTGGTCCCATACCCATGTGTGGTGATTAAAAATTGGAAGGGATATATCAGCTTAAGAAGTCCCTCCAGAGGAGTAAGGGGTCCCTGTCCTGCACCAGGCTCCCCAGCCCAGGGTTAGTGTCAGGGAGAGAAGTCCCCATAACTTTTAGCTGTGAAAACCAGAGATTGTGGCTGAGAAGGAGGGCTGCTGGAGTCCCAGACATTCCTCTTAAAGGGCCTACATATATACTTACTTGCTGATGGACTCACTCGCTCTGAGTTCCAGCACTGGGGCAGCAGCTCAAAAGGTGCCAGGAACATACAGGGAGGAACTGAGTTGTCTGATTCCAGAGCAAGGGCTAGAGGGGCAATTTTCTCCTGGACAGAAGTGCTGGCAGAAGCTAATGCTCCTTTATTGAGCCCCCCCTCCCAGCTTACATGCACAGGCGGGTACCATATGAGACTCCATCAACCTAGCTAACACCGTTCGCCCTGCCCTGGGGATTCCTTGAGACCTCCACCCCACCTAACTTGCGGGGCCACCCAAGCCACTCATGCTGCAGACTTTCCTAAAATCTCTGAGGTTCACAAACCCCAAACAAGCAGCATCTGTCCTTGGTATGCCCCATGCCTCTTGCTAAGCAGCCCCAAGCCTGGCATTAGTAGCAGCCGACCTCAGCAGCTTAGCCTCTCCTAGGCACCTCCAAGCCCAGCAAAAGTGGCGACCATCTTCAGATGGTTTGTAGCTCATACCGACTGGCCTAGGACAGGGCAGAGGAAGCAGCTGATCTTGACCTGCACCAGAGCCACTCCCTAGAGACACCAGAACCAACACACCTGCTCCAAACCACCCCAAAGCACCACCTAACCACAAATGATACACCCAAAGGCTCCTCCACTGTATTCATGGCCAGTCCTCACAACCAGTCAGCCCGAGGATCAGTCCTTTGCATTGACATGCCAACAGCAATCAAGGCTCAACTACAACAGGTGGGCACACATGGGATACACATGGAGCACCTGGCTCATGTGACAAGGGAGATTACCACAGCCCCACAAGACACCCACTACATAAGGCCACTCTACTAAGACTGGGAGACATAGCATCCCTAATACATAGAAACAAACACAGGAAAGCACCCGGAGACATAGCATCCCTAATACATAGAAACAAACACAGGAAAGCACCAAAATGAGGAGACAAACATGTCCCAAATGAAAGAACAAAGCTCCAGAAAAAGAACTAAGCGAAATGGAGATAAGCAATCTATCAGATGCAGAGTTCCAAACACTGGTTATAAGAATGCTCAATGATCTCAGGGAGAACGTCAAGAGTTAGGAAGCATAAAAATGGAGATGGAAAACATAAAAAAGAACCAGTCAGAAATAAAGGATAAAATAACAGAAATGAAGAAGATATTATAGGCAATCAACAAATTAGATGAAGCAGAAGATCCAACCAGTGATTTAGAAGATAGGTAGCAGAAAACACCCAAACAGAACAGCAAAAAGAAAAAGAATCCACAAAGTTAGGAGTTTAAGGGGCCTCTGGGACAATATCAAGTGTACCAACATCTGCATCATAGGGGTACCAAAAGGAGGAGAGAGAGCAAGGAATTGAAAACCTATTTGAAGAAATAATGATGGAAAACTTCCCTAACCTGGTGAAGGAAATTAATATACAAGCCCAGGAAGTGCAGAATCTCAAACAAGATGAACACAAAGAGGCCCACACCAAGACACATCATAATTAAAGTGCCAAAGGTTAAAGACAAAGAATCTTAAAAGCAGCAAGAGAAAAGCAGTTAGTTACCTACAAGGGAGCCCCCATAACTGTCAGCTGATTTCCCAACAGAAACTTTGCAGGCCAGAAGGGATTGGCACGAAATATTCAGTGATGAAAAGCGAGGACCTACAACCAAGATTATTCGACCCAGCAAAGCTATCATTTAAAATTGAGGAAGAGATAAAGAGCTTCCCAGACGAGATAAAGCTAAAGGAGTTCATAACCAAAAAACCAGTATCACAGGAAATGTTAAAGGAACTTCTTTAAGAAGAAAAGATAAAAAATATGAATAACAAAATCGCAATAACTACATGTCTATGAACAATTACTTTAAGTGTAAATGGATTATAATGCTCCAAACAGAAGACACAGGGTGGCTGAATGGGTAAGAAAACAAAACTCTACATACTCATATGCTGCCTACAAGAAACTCACTTCAGATCAAAAGACACAGCCTGAAAGTAAAGGGATGGAAGATATTTCATGAAAATGGAAATGAAAAAAAAAAAAAGTTGGGTAGCAATATTTATACCAGATAAAGTAGACTTTAAAACAAAGGCTATAACAAGAGACAAAGGACCCAGTAATCCCACTTCTGGGTATTTATCCAAAGAATCCCCAAACACTATTTCAATGGGATATGTACATCCATGTTCATTGCAGCATTATTACAATAGCCAAGATATGGAGGCAACCTGAGCATCCATCAATAGATGAATGGATAAAGAAGAGGTGGTACATATACACAATGGAATGTTATTCAGCCATAAAAAAGGATGAAATCTTGCCAGCTGCAAAAACATGGATGGATTGTGCTGAGTGGAGTGAGACATAGAAAGACAAATGCCATATGATTTCACTTATATGTGGAACCTGAAGAACAAAATAAACGAACAAACAAAAGTAACTCATACAAATAATACCAAAAAAAAAAAAGTAAAGTAAAAGTAACTCATACAGAGAACATTTTCATGGTTGCCAGATGGGAGGAAGTTTTGGGGGATGTATGAAAAAGGGGAAGGGATATAGAAGTACAAATTGGTAATTACAAAGTAGTCATGGGGATGGAAAGTATAGCATAAGGAATACTGTCAATAATATTGCAATAAGTATATGTGGTATCAGATGGGGACTAGATTTATTAGGGTGATCATTTCATAGGTCACATAAATGTCTAATCACTATGTTGTACACCTGAAACTAATATTATATTGTTTGTCAACTGTAATTGAAAAATTAACAATTATTTTCGGAGTGGCCGGTTAGCTCAGTTGGTTAGAGCGCAGTGCTCATACTACCAAGGTTGCTGGTTTGATCCCACATGGGCCACTGAGCTGCACCCTCCACAACTAGATTGAAACAACTACTTGACTTGGAGCTGACGGGTCCTGCAAAAACACCACACTGTTCCCCAATTTAAATAAATAAATAAATAAATAAATAAATAAAATTTAAAATACAGTAACCAGAAAATAGTTACCTACAATTTTAAACCAATTTTTTGAAAAAGCATGAAACCAGCTGTATAACAAAACAGACAATTCTGATTAAATAAAACCCTGTTTAGTTATGGTTTTACAACATAAAATAGATTTAGTATTGAAATGACACAAATTTGGAATCATTAACTTTATTTGTGACTCTATAGACATTGGTCCACTTCCACATGAAAAGTAGGGAGCATCTACTTTCACTTAATATTCTATAGAATGATGTTGTACCACAAACCGTAGTAACTTACACAGGGGGAAAAGTTATTGAAATAAAAAGATTTTTATATCCATGCCCCAAAATAGCCCCCAAATATTTGTTTTTGTGTGTATAATTATAAGCATCTATAACTCCACAAAGCTAGTTTCTTCTTAGATCAATGTAGTATTTTTAATATCCGCACTAGACCATTCAGATCACCAAGCTTTCAAAACAGGTTAAAAAACAGCTATCCTCTGTCAATCAGATGCAGTTCTAATCTAAGTGACTGTATATGCACATTCATATTTTAGGGCTGTTCTAAGTTAGAAACCTTTTGTTTCAGATATTTACATCAAATTAAGACATTTACAAATGGTTCATAGTATATAACTGCCCAAATATCATTTTAACCTATCCTGTGTAAGGAAATTAAGCATTCATATGTTTCTCTAATAAATTCAGTGCATTTTCCCAACATAAATAACACAAGCTATTCTAAATGTTTTACATTTATTTCAGTGCATTATTTCCAAATATTAAATGGAATGAAATTGTATTAAATGGTTATATCATAATTGAGCATATTATGGAATCTACATCACACAAATCAATGAAGGTCAATACTATAATTAACTCTAGAACAACTTCACAGGCACACACAAAATAGAGAACAAACTTTACTTTTTAAAAAATTTAAAGTATACTATCTACTTTAAACTCCACTAAAAGTTTTATTTTAACAAAACAGCCAATTTCCAAATGCTTTTTCTAAGTTAGGCATAAGGAAAATTCAATCCATTCGAATCTTCTGGTTTGTCATCCTATAAATGATGCTATCATATCCAGGATCCATGTTCCAAATATTGTAAGAGGTGATAATCACAGCCAAGGCCAAGGCGATCATTATCCAAAGTACCATGTTGAAAATCACTGCATACTCCAAATTATACTTATATGCAAGGTTATAGGGATTTGGTGGGTTCTTCTATAATGAAGAAAAGAAAGAAAATCAAGAGGGAAGAATTTTAAAATAGGAAATTATCCCGATGGAGTAGCTATAATTCATTTATCTAACAGACATTTATTCCTAAGTGGCATAAGAGCTTTTACTAGGAGGAATCGAGAAGGGTGGCCTTCATGAAAATAACGTGTGCTGCTGGGGAAGCATAAACTAGCAGTTCAACTGCTTGAGAAAATTTGGCAATACCAATAAAGTTGAAGGTGTGTAGTGTCCATATCCTATGATCCAGCAAGTTCATACCCTAGGGGAAACTTCCATATGTATATCATGAGACATGGACAAGGATGTACATCAACAGAATGGATAGCTGTGGCACATCCATACAATGGAACACATAGCTGTAAAATGACTGCATTACAGATACGTTTATCAGCTGCATGACTCTTAAAAGGAATACTGAGCAAAGAACACAAAAAATGCATATAGTATGATTCCATTTCTATAAAATTCAAATAACACACAAAACCAAACAACACTGTTTACGGATAAATACATGTAGGCAAACTGTAAAGAAAAGCAAGGGAATGATGAACATAATATTCGGGACAGCAATTATCTCTAGACAGGGAGAGTGAAGGGATAAGACAGAGCTTCAGAGGAACAAGTATTCTCTGCATCTATATAGTGTTAAAATTCTTTGTATTCTTTAACTAGTATTACATGTCACACACAGTCATGTGCTGCTTAATGACATTTCACTCAACAATAGACCATATATACAACGGTGGTCCCATAAGACTGTAATGGTGCTGAAAAAAATCCTATCGCCTAGTGACCTCATAGCCGTTTTAACATCAGAGCACAACAAATTACAATTGCCTACAGTATTCAGTACAGTAACATGCCGTACAGGTTTATGGCCTAGGTGAGTAGGAGGCTGAACCATCTAGGTTTGTGTAGGTGCACTCTGTGATGTTTGCACAATGCCAAAATCACCTAATGATGCATTTCTCAGAATGTATCCTCTTTGGTAAGTGGCACATGAGTGTATTTATGTATGATCGACTTAAAAATTTTTTTATTTTATTTTAAAAAGAGAAACAAATGATGGTTCAGTCAACCACATCTTTGTTTTGAAGAGATCCGTGCTGGGCCTTGGGGGTGGAGTCGATTCCAGGCCTGTGCAAAGGCATTGAGAAATGTAATCCTTTCTGGCAAAGGCAGTGTTTGGGAAACTTAGTTCATTCAAGTAAAACTTGTTTTACTTGAATAAAAACATGTAGGAAAATAGCAGGAACTGAAGCTGGAGGCAGGGAAGCTATGGAGAACCTGGCCTTCAGTCTATGGGCAACAGGAAGCTACTGACCCCGTTTCAGTCAGGAAGTAACATGATCAGGTTTGTCTTAAAACTTTGATGACCATGTAGAATGGATCTGGGAAGGGCAGGCTGGAAAGCAAGGAGCTGAGTCAGTGAGATGAGAGAAATGAGGGCAAGGGGCCGGGCAGGGGGCCTGGCAGTGAGTATGAAGGAGAGACTGGAACCCCACAGCCCCAGTGCCTGGCATGCGGCAAGCACTCAACGTTTCTCTTTAACCTAAAGGAAGATACTCTTTAACCTAAAGGAAGATAGTGATTTCAACTGGAGAGGATGGCTACACAGACATGTGCATTTATATGTGGGGAGCTTAGAGCTGAGCAAATGTTAAAGGATCTCACCCTTGAGAGTACTCTAAGTGTACATTCAGTAAATTTTCCTATATTTACAGAGTTACAGTCATCATCACAATCTACTTTTAGAAGATTTTATCACCCTAAAAAGAAAGCTCGAGCTGAAAGCCTCTTTTCTCTGTGAAGCGGGCAAGACTGTCAGTATAGAATTGAGGGGCAGACATGGATAGAGGAGAATGATTCAAGTGGACAACAGGTAGTGAATCAGAGACTGGAGGTACAGGCAGAATGGAATCCCAGGAATGTTTGGTGCCAACCTCCCATTTCAAAGTATTCGTTTTAGTCTATTAGGTATAACAAAAAAATAAATCTTAGATTTTAGATTATACAGAAGGTGCCAAAAAATGTATACATTTTTAGGAAAGGAAAAAACTATTAAAATTGTAATACAATGAATGACACTAGCATTCATTTGATTAACGCCATCTTTTGAGCGAATGTCATACTACATAGTGCTACCATAATTCAATGTTGAAAAGTAATACATAGATAACATCTCTTAAAATGTGTACATTTTTTGGCACCCCCAGTATATATAAAATGTTAATTCACTACCTCTTTTATTTCTTAAATCAGTTTAAATGGTTATTTTATGTCCTATACCCATATTCTATTACTTGAAGTTCTGGGGGGTCTAATTCTGCCATTTCATGCTTTAGCTACCACACACGGTAGATTGGCTCCATCTGTGGTTTACAATGTTCTGAACTCACATTTGGGGAGTCCGTGGGGGTCCCCTCCCCACTATGGCTTGTGTGAAGGATGTGTCCTGCCAGAGAGGTTTTATATTTACTTCTGGGCACCACAGGTCTTACCAGCCTGGGACCGGGCTTAGAGGGTATGTGTTTATTTCTTGGCCTGGGGCTTTCTGGGACTTGCAGGTAATATAAAATTGAGCCCCAAACCCACACAAAGGTGGTCCTGTGGTTAAGAATTTCCCAAGTGACATTCCCACCCCCAGTACCTACTGTGACTACACAGAGCCCAAGCTGCCTGTCTCCCTTTGCTGGTGGGCAGGTTGTTTTCTTACTGAGGGCACACTCCTTTCAGGGTCCCAGCTTTACATGGAGGCGTCAGTTCCAAATCCCTCACCACCACCACATTCAAGGACCAAAGGCCTTGTTTCCAGTCTCTCGGTAACCCAAATAGAAATGTTCCTAGGGCTGCCTTATTACTACAGTTTTCAAGTTCCACTTTATTTTCTCAAGAATTTCCCTTACTTTCTTGAGAGAGAAAAAGCTCTCAAAAAGGTGTTTATTTTTTTACCCAGCATTTCTGGATGCTCTATAAATCAGAAAAATTTTCAGGTTGTCTAGCCTGACATGATCCTTCCATTCCAATTTAGAATGAAACCATCTGAAACTAGTCATGTCTAGATTATCTTGAACAGGCATTACCTTTGACAGTCTTACTCTAAGTCCCACACTGTGATCAGTAAAACTGAACAGGGTGGGGCTGCAAATGGATACAAAGGGGAGTGTGTATAAATGACTGGGAATCTGCTCTAAGAGATGAGGCCAACTATCAATAATGTTCTTGGCCTCAAGATGTTTTAGCGTATCCACACTGCCGCTCTTGTGTATGCGCATGTGTGTGTACACACGCGCACGCGCGCGCGCACACACACACACACACACACACACGTGTGTTGAACCATGCCCAGCACCCTTGCTTATAACCCTCTAAATGCTTAAAATCAAAGAAAGATCCAAGCCAAAAAATTGTAGAAGTAAATCAAATTAGAGTGCACACAGTGGATTTTGGAAAATGAGGGGCTGTACACAAAGACAGAATAGCTACCTCCTGGAAAAGCAGAGCCCCCAGGCTGAGAGCGCCACACTACTCCCTCACATTAATTCTGATGGCTCCTTATAATACCAATATTTGAATTATCGGCTTCAACGGATTTACTTTGATACCTAACTCAGAACTCTTGCATTATCCGATTACAACCCCAAAGAGCTGAGCATCGCTGGCAAAACACACATACCTATGAGAATAGGAAGCCTTGTTTTAATTGAAATTGTTTTTCAGATTTACTGACTGCTCATTCATGCTGCCCATAGATGATACAGGATTTAGTGGTTTTTTAAAAAAGTTAATTTCACAATTTTAAAGCAAGATCTAAAAATGTACTCACCTGTTCTTTTGCCTCAAGGATAGTCCTTGTCTTCCTCACAAGTGATGTGTCGAATGATCTGACAGTCACTAGCTCTACCACTGCATTCCCACCATAAAGACTATACATGTCATCTGCAAACTGAAATTACTGACATTACTAGGAATCTCAAATGCATATTTATTAAAATTATTTGGAAAGCTTCTGTGCACCTACAAGAACAACATACACTTACCTATTGGCTCATGAATTACACTGTCTTAAAATAGGCAAGTCTTAAAGGCTTTGATTATGTTAAAATATTCAGAAAACCGTTAAGCTTCAACATACATTCAAATGTTCAAAATAAAATTACTTTAAGAAGAGTCTGATTTATTGGCATATAAATTGGGAGACAGGAAGTAGGAAAAGGAAAGGAAGGAAACTTCCTAAGAAATCTCTGGTTAATCACAAACAGATACAAAGATTTAACTTTAGTAATGCCACACTGAAGAGTTGCAGGTCAGTAACTTCAAGAACAGGAGAAAATCAGCATTTATTACATATCTGCTAAATGTCTGGTACTGTGCTAGATGTTCCCCTTTGGTTATGTTATAGTGTTTAAGGGGGACAGAGTTTCAGTTATGGAAGATGAAAGTTCTGGCAATGGATGGTGGTGATAGCTGCACAAAAATGTCAATGTACTTAATGCCACAGGACTGTACACTTAAAAGTAGTTAAAATGGTAAGTTTTATGTATATTGTACCATGATAAAAAGAAAAAAGGGACTGCTGGAGTTATCCATCATATCCTGTGCTGCCTCTGCCAGCATTAGAGACATGCCAACATACATCTTTGGCCTACCTCATTCTTGGTCACTAAAATTACAGGTTCTCCAAAGAAGTAAGCAAGACTTCAATCAATAGTATTTCACTTAGTAGATTTTTCCATTAAGAGGCTAAAAGCAAAATGGTCATACTCTAACCTCTCATAACCCATCCATAATTTACCTTTTGCAGAGCATCAACAAGGATCTTAGAAGCATCTCTGAATTGTTCAGAGTCTTGCCCGTAATGTTTTCCAATTTCATCCAAACCCGCCAGCTCCAGTGAATACAAATCAGGAGAATGATCCTTGGCTAGATGCTTATGTCGAGACAACTTAAGAGAACAAAAGGAAGTAGATAATGTCAAACACAGCCAGTTGAAGTTATATGCCTAACTAAACTAGGCTGAGCAGAGCCACACTAGTGTGCCACAATATACAAATAGTCTAAAAATGGTGGCAAATGAAACTTTCCAATAAAACAAATCCAACATAAATTTCATTTTTAAGAGCCACTATAGGACTCCCTGAATATTTAATAGAAGTTTTTTTAAATTCCTTAATTTAAAAACTTCAGATATGGGCCAGGGTATGAAAGAACAGGTGGCTGGACCAGTCTGATCCCAGGAGAACATGAGCCATCACTGCTCAGAGAGCAGACACCTTCCATGTGCCCTCCTGGACCATTTCGCCGCCCCCAGCACTGTGCTCCCAGACTTCCAAACCAACCCCACTGAAAAAGTTGGGCAGCAACTTCAGTAGATAGCAAACAGGTAAACTTTTCTATTTCAGTCACAGGAGGATTTTTGAAAAAAAAAATACCGTTCAGGCAGATTTATTCCCTTCCTGACTTGGTCAACAGCATTATTAGTCCAAACTGTTATTCTATTTTAGATATAGGAGTTAAGTCTTAATGTCTGACAAGATGTCAACAGCCAAGTTGGGGCTACAGCTAGGGTGGCCCACCCAAGGCCTGTATTCTTGGAGAATATACTTACTGTCTCCTAAGAGTAGAAATGCAAAGTAATTTGTAACATGAGATGAGTTCAAAATTTCCAACACCACCACTAGTTCCTGAACTTTCATGGTATCATAAATCTAGGGCATACCTGATCAAACTTTTCAGTTGGTTTCACTCTCATTCAAAGATTCTCTAGAAGTGATTTCTGGAACCAAAGTAAATAGAACTGAAAAATTACAGCACCCTACTTACCAAACTTGAAATATCATGTAGAACTTGCAGTTCAGAAAGAAAGAGCAGATCAACCTGCAGAGTGGAAAGAAATGAGCATTACTGAAAATATGCACCAGAGATCTGTATTTGCCATTTTTCAAGTAAGACACAGGATATTACAAATGTTAACCATGTAAGTGAATGTATGCAACTGTCCTCCATTTGGTAGGTTCATTTCAGTTGAAAATGCATACAAAACATTCTTTTCTAAGAGGTGATGGTCATTCCTCAGCACAGTGAGTACCACTCAATAACCATATTTCCGGTAAAGCTATGATAAAGCATCCAAACTTTACAGTGGTTTTCCCTCAGGGCATCAGAATATCGTGGCACACTGCAGCGAGGTCCTGTCAATGGCCTAGTTTGCTCACATCCCTTGAACATGTTCCACATAGAAAAATAAAAGACAGTGGTCCTGGTCAACCATAGTAGGTAGAGGGGAGAGTGCCAGAAAGGTGGCATGCCATGTGGTTAAGAGGGTGCATGAGTGGGTGGTGAAATTGGCAGAGTCAAAAGTAAGGGTGGCTCCCTCCACTGCAGTGTCAAGGATGAACGAGAAAAATGAGGCAACACATCAGAAGTGGCAGTGACTATAGCTCCCACATTACTAGATCAACACAGCTCCACCAGCCACCAAGTAAATACTGTGATTTCTGGTTTGTCTGGATTAACTGGTGGCGACCCTCATGCCAGAATGTAGTACTATTTACACTACTACAGCTCAACTCACAAAGAGTCAGTTTATTCATGAGATTCATAAGAAAATGACACTAAAGGAAAAAAGAATCTATTCCAGGAGTAAATCTGTAAAACTTTCCTTCTTTTTTTTTCTAATGAAAGTTTATTGGGGTGACAATTGTTAGTAAAGTTACATAGGTTGTTTTTTTTTTTTAAACTTTATTAGGGAACAGTGTTTTTTCCAGGACCCATCAGCTCCAAGTGAAGTCACTGTTCTCAATCTAATTGTGGAGGGCGCAGCTCAGCTCCAAGTCCAGTCGCCATTCCCACTCTAGTTGCAGGGGGTGGGTGGGGTGGCGGGGGGAAGCCCACCATCTCATGCAGGAATCGGAACAGCAACCTTGTTGTTAAAAGCACTTGCTCTAGGGTCAGCCGATGGGCGCATTGGTTAGAGTTGGCTTGGGACGCAGGCTCTGAGCAGCAGGGCCCCGGTTTGGATCTCACATGAGGGCCAGTGACACTGTGCCCTCTACAGCTAAGATGGTGAACAACAGCTCGACCTCGAGCTGGGCTGCCAAGAGTCACCGGCGATGGCGTAGGCTGCAGTGGGGTTGGCCGGCAGAGGGCATGAGTTTTCGTGAGCTGCCATGAGCCGCCGTCCAATGGTTGGCGAGCAACTGCCTCGCCCGGGAAGAGTGCAATGATAATACCAACATGGGCCAGTGAAGCGACGTCCTCCACAACTAGACTGAAGAACAAAAGAGCAGCAACTTGTCTGTTCCCCTCCCTCAATTCCCCAATAAAATCTTAAAAAAAAAAGAGCACTGGCCGCCCCAGGTTACATAGGTTTGAGGTGTACAATTCTGTAATACATCATCTATATATCCCATTGTGTGTTCACCACCCAGAGTCAGTTCTCCTTCCATCACCATCTATTTGAAAACTTGTCATTTTCTAAAATGTCGTTTGCTCTAAAGTCAGGAGCACAAGAAATGGGAAGCTAGTAATGATATTAATTTACTCATTCAATAACTGTACTTACTTCATTGTTCCTACTCAGAGAATTGAGGGGAAGTGAATTGAGCACGGAGTTTTCTTGAAACAGGCGATTTCGGAGCTGTCGTAACGTTACTGAAAGATCTTCAAAAACTGAGTTTGCCTTCCCCACCATATACACTCTCTGCAAGAAGAATCCAAAATTATAAGTTATGTTCTACAGATTAATTCCCATATACAGAGGTCTGATAGCATTTTTCATAAAACTGGTTTTAAATTTTCATTAAATAATGAAAGCTTAGGGCCGGCCGAGTGGCACGTTGGTTAAGAGCTGGCTTGGGATGCCAGAGGGCCCCGGTTCGGATCCCACATATGAGGGCCAGTGACACTGCCCTNCTGTCATGTTTTTATTTGACAGAAATTGCCATATACCAGAAGTGATGTGTGACACAGGACGTTGTCATGATAGAGGATGATTTATGGCACTTTAAAACACACCTTCTCTCAACCATAGCTCACACCCGACTGACTACACTGAACAAGTCGAAACTTGTCACACACTGTTAATAAGGTTTGGCGTGCTGCTTCCCTATTGAAGATCCCTGCTTTTCTGTTGGATGGCACTTGGCAACAGCATTCACCATATTTTGTGATCACAATGGAAAGGCTCCAGGTCACACATCACTTCTGGTTCAGCAATTTCTGTCAAGTAAAAACATTACGGTGTGTCCTCACCCACCTTATTCACCGGATCTGGCACCATGCGACTTCTGGTTCTTCCCCAAAGTCAAAATGACCATGAAAGGTAAATGTTTTGAATGGATTCAGGACATGGTGGCAGCCACAACAGCGCAACTAAAGACACTCAGGAAAGAGGACTTTCAGAACTGCTTCAGAAAGTGGCAAGAATGACGGAATAAGTGTGTTCAAAGTGAGGGAGAGTATTTTGAGGGGGATTAATGGCAATGTGTCTTTTACAGTAATCAATCTTTTTATTTAAACATTTAGCCTATTTTTTAATCACACCTTGTATCTTAGGATAGATCATATCTTTCCATAAATCCTACAGGCAAACCTAGTGAAATGAGGACTGTCAACCGGGGGATACATGTTACCAGTCAGAATATAAAACACTTCAGACTTTAGAAACGAAATCCAGAAAATAGTATTTCCAATGGACATATCAAGAGGGGTAAGAAAAGGTATTCTGTAATAATAAAGTCAACTAGTCTAGAGGTATGGGGACTGGGATTAAAAAGTGAAGGATGAAGGGCCGGCCGAGTGGCTCAGTTGGTTAAGA